ATTAGAAAGAGTTTTTATCAGATTTTAACTCTAGAGCTTAGTGTTAGTCTTTTCTTGTTCTTTCTAATGAGAAATTTGTGAGATGAATTGGAGACTTTATTGTACAATTCATTTTGTTGAAGAAATAGAAGATCATTTGGAGTTTGTTCATCATTTTGGCTAAACTTTCTTTATCTATCTTTTTACTTGTGATTCAATATATGTTTATGCAATGAATCTATGTTTTTTCTTGTTATATATCTGATAGGTGTCGAGTCTGTACAATAAGAAATACTTACTTAAATAAAGTATAAATTTTTGTATATAGTGGTAAGTAGGGTCGAATCCACAGATACTGGGGAAATTCGTTTCTCCTCAAATTCAAAATATGGGGGGATTTTTATAAAAGTATGAATAACTAAACAAATCAAATAAAAAGGCCTAACTAATAATTTACTAAAAATGAAACAATAATAAATAAACTCTAGCAAAAATAAATAACTTCGAAAATAGTTCACTCAATTAATCATGGATGTAATAATAATTTCATTCATTCACTGATAAACAAGTTATAACTGCCAAACAAGTGATGACAATTAACTTCTCCTTACTATATCGGTAATCAAGGTGCGACCGTTAATCACTTCCCTAATCAAGAAATAACTCTAGGTATATATACGACCACAGAGTTCAATTTTTCAATTACCTTAAGAATTAGAGAAGTCTTGTTCTAACCAAATAACATGCTACGAGGGTTATTTTAAGTTGGCCCATACGTTCTCCTGACACAAACCCAATCATGCCAGTCACTACTAATTTAAAACAATTAAATAATTATGGGTTTAGCTGCCCTAACTAGTTTTAGGTTATTAGATTAATTAAATATCGGGCACCCTTGATATTTAAACAAAATAATAACCATAAGAAATTAAATCAGAGAACATACGAATACCAATAAATAAAAGAAATAAAAATAATCAATTCGATATCACAATTTTAGATGAACTAAATTCTCCGTTGTTCCTTGACTAGAAAAAAAAAAAACCAGCCGTTCATCATTGACAAGAGACCGCGCGAGTTCATTGAGAACCTTCACATAAGTGTTGGACAAAGAAAACTAACTAAGAAGAAAAGACAGCCAGGCGGCTGCTGTTCCCTCACAAAGAGTCACGGTCCTCCCCCCAAATTGTTCCCTGGCCGAGGTATTAATCAAACGGGAATCTGGCTTCCCTTATTCTTTGTTTCCTACTTAACCTCAACTACTAATAATAAGATATGTTCTCCAAAATATAAAAGGAAACTACTAAAGATAATATTCCAAGTTTCCTAATCTAATACTAAGACTAATAATGAAAATTAAAGTCTTCAAAATCTTCCTCCAAAAATTGCCTTGAATTCAACTCAGACTTAGAAACCGATCCCGAACGTGCCACTGTCAAATTAACTGAAAAAATTGCCACTTTTAATCACATTTTACTCTTTTTCCTACAATTAGCACCATTAATCAAATATAAGTAGAATCTATCAATTAAAATAATATTTAGCTAGAATAAAAGGAAAAATAATCATAAATTGAATGACAATTTCACACCTTATCAATATCATATGAGTAGCTAAATTTCTAAATTTAGGGAGTAGATGAAACTTGTGACTACTTGATATGAGTTGAATATGATTTACATTTGCTACCTCTTAGATTAACTTATTCATTTATGCATACTTAATCACTTGTTATTGCTTGATCACCAATAGTAAGTCATTAGTTGTTATTAGTCAATGAAAGTTGGTAATAATGATGGAACAACATAAATGGAGCTTAATTAGTAGACTCATGAGAATAGATGTGCACTTAAGTGGATTAACTTTGCATTTCATAAAGAACACAAGAGTAGAATTAGTTATTCACCATAAGAATAGGAAAAACTAGTCTAGTTTAGGCCATTTCATCATGAGAGTGAGTTTTGGTAACATTGGAAATGAATCTCTAGTTGAACAAGAGTAGTAACAAGAGATAAATTTATTCACTTGTATCTTTTGTGCCATAAGTGGACTCTACATCCCCAGAGTTAAGTATTTAGTGAAATTTCTCTATTGTTATCTTGCAAACTCACTAGCTAGGTAACTTAAGTTGTAAGTAATTGCAATTTCTCTTGCTTTTATTGATAGTTAATCTAAATAATAAAGTGAGTAAGGTCTTAGTATTTGTAAAAGTTGTTTTTCGTGGGATCGACCTGATATATGGTCTAAATTACTATTTGACCTATATACTTGCAGTCAAACATGTATATTTTGAAATTAACTTGAACTTATATCTAAAACCCATCATGAATTTAGCATAATAATTGCAACAAAAATTCAATATTGAACCAAAGTTAAAACCCACGTATTAGTATAAAAAAATGGAAGTTTTGATAAAGCACCTAAAATATTTACTTTTTCCTGATGGCAGCTTCTTACCTAGACTAACTTGAAATATGTTGTAAAATAGGGTTGCTATTCTTGAATTGAATTTATTCCCTTTCTTCTTTTTTTCGTACTTCTTTTGTTTTAATTTTCATTCAAAGTGATCATATATTTTATTGTTATATATTTTCAATTAGAATTTTATTATAAAGTGAAAATTAATCCATTTAAAGTGAAAAAAATTTTCTACCGACATGTATTTTTGTCACTTATAAACTTTTAAAGAAGGATAAATTGATCATTTCATCAATTATTTGGATATATTTAATTTTCTTATTATTTTTTAGCTGACTAAGGGTGTAAAGTGCCTATTAAGATAATTTGAGGTGCAAAGTACAACTAGTGTAATAGTTGGTGGGGCGTTTTTTGCATTTAATCCTGTTTTTTTTTTTTTTACTTTCCCATAAATTTCTGCGTAACGATCCAATCACAATATTTGAATTTCAAAATGACCCAAATTAGACCATGAAGTGCTTCTAAGTTGCATAACACTCCCTTTTTTAGGTGTTGAGGCTCCATTTCCACTCCAACGTTGCCATGCTAATGCTACTTTTTTTGTGTGGCACATGGACCTTTTCTTATAAATAAGAAGAGAAATATTATGACGACTCTCATTGGAAATTGTCGTACTAGTTGTTTTACAAAATCTGAGGAGAGTTTCAAAGAGAATCGATTGAAGTTCCTTGTTTAGCCAAAAAAGGCTAAGTCATTCGCTACTTTATTCGAGTCCCTTGCATGGACCTTTAGTTTGGCCACAAGCTACAGATTGCAGTTTACTTGTTCAGCTACTTCTTTCCACCTATTGCTCCTTTTCTGTTCGTTTAAATGCCTAAACGACTCCTCAATCGGCCTCCAATTACATGACTTGATCAATTGTTTAGAAAATGTTACAAGTATGTAAGTATGGTACCAGTGATACTATAATGTCTTAGCGCCTTTTTTTTTTAAATTTGATTTGACTTTTTAAATTTTTTTTATTATTCATTTCTATGCAGTTGGCTGATAATTTGCGATATATTAGTGGCCCATAATCTCAATGGACAGCGGGCAATCAAGTTTGAGAAAGAAAAAAATTGAAACCAAAAACGAAAAGAGAAAAATAAAAAAAGCTAAGACTCCTTGCGCCCTTGCTTCATGTTTTTTCATCAATACTTTTATCTTCTTCGATTAGGTATATAGAAATGATAAAGACCTCAGATTCTTGTACTGAAATCTGATGCTATGCACCAAGGTCCAAGGAGATAAAAACATCACTATAATTTTGTAAGAGGTGATAAGTGAAATGTTTTTAAGGACGATCATTCAAGGAAACTAGGACAAACCATCACAAATACATGGTAAATTTTTGAGAAAAGGAAAACGAAGAATTAAATCATAGAAAGTGATGCATTTCTAATCGACCACGTGAGGAGCTTCTATCTTGCACTTTGGCATGCACGATGCAAATATCAGTGGCTTTGAAATAAAGTGAAGAGATAAGAGTTTAGCTTTTGAGTTTTGACCGTATGGCTGCAATAATTTCCTGGAAAAAGAAGACCAGCATTAGGGAGTGTTTCAACATCAAAATCTAGCGACTTCACCCAATTTGCTACTTCAGCTTTCTTGGTTGATACTTAGAAGAAACTTACGAAAGAAAACTAGCCATATGCATGCCTGCATACACCAATATGACCCCAACGCCTTTGCAAACAATTGATTGTTTTACAAAATGGACAATTTCTATAGAAAAGCATCGAAACTGGAAGGGAAAAGTGAACCATGTGAATAGAATCTCTCTTCTGAGATCAGTTAAAACAACAGAGATTAGAGTTTTGCTTGCCGCTGCAACTAACAGGCAAGAGCTTCTCCTTCTTTACTACTTGTTGAAAGCAAAGCTCACTTAACCAAGATGGCTGATCCAGTTATCTCTCTTTTCATTGAGAGAATTGGTGATCTGCTGATTCAAAAAATTGTTTTCCTGAAAGGTGTTCGACGACAAGTTGAGAGACTCAAAGATGATCTGGTCCGGATGCGGTGTTTCCTGAAAGATGCTGATCAGAGGCAAGATGAAGATGAGAGGATACGCAACTGGGTTTCTGAAATCAGAGCTACTGCCTACGACGCGGAGGATGTCATTGAGATCTTTGCCAGCAAAATGGAGAGCATAAAAGACAAGGGATTTGTCACCAAATTGGCCTTGTGCATTGGAAGCCTTTACAAGATAGGTAAAGAGATTGTAACCTTACGGATGAGGCTCAAGGAGATTGCTGATAGCCACATCAAAAATCCTGAAGAGGGGATGAGTCCCCATAGAGAAGAGCTTCAACGGCTCCAACGATCCTCTCCAATTGGTGACGGCAAGGACATTGTAGGCTTCGAGAAGATAACAAAATCCTTGGTGACGTCAATCATTGGCATGGGAAGCATTGGTAAGTTTATAACCATGCTGACGTCAGTGCAAAATTCAACTGCCGTGCTTGGGTATGCGTCTCTTCAAGATACAATCCCAAAGAGACGCTGAGAACAATCATAAAGCAACCGAATCCGATAACTAATGAGCTACTTGAAAGTTGGAAAGGATGCAAGAGCAGGACTTAAAGCAAAGGCTCTATGAAGATCTACAAGATACGTGTTATCTTGTGGTACTTGATGATGTATGGAAGGAAGAAGCGTGGGATTGTCTATCTAGGGCCTTTCCTGATGTTAGTACATCAAGTAGATTGCTACTTACAAGTAGCAATCGGGATGTTGCTCTACACGCAGAAGCTCTTAGCATCCCATATGAGTTGAAAACTTTCGGGCAGGAAGACAGATGGCAGTTGTTTCTCAGAAAGGCCTTAGGCCCTGGGGCTGATGGTGGGTGTCCTCTGTATTTGGAAGAAGTAGGCAGAGATATTGTAAGGATATCTGCTGGTCTACCACTGGCCATCGCAGTTACTGGTGGCCTGCTACCGGGCAAGAAAAAATTGAAGAGTGAATGGGAGTATGTTCTCAACAACTTTAGCACATATCTATCAAGGAGAAAGAGTGAAGCATGGGCAATTTTAGAATTTTATGCAGACCTTCCTCCCAATCTGATATTTGGCCTTTTGTATTTGGGTTTGTTTTCCAGAAGGCTATGATTTCCATTCGCAAGTTATCCATATGTGGATTGCAGAGGGAATAATGCAGAAAATTTGGAGAAAACTGCAGCATACGATGTGGAACAACTTACTAGCAGAAATATGGTTCAAGTGGCGGAAATGACTTTTGATGACTGGATTAGAAGCTGTAGACTCCATGATTTATTCCGAGAACTTGCTATCAGAAAGGCAAATGATGAAAATTTTTTCAGATCCATGATATCAAAGATGATAAAATATCAGCCAAATCCAGGCACCTTGTTGTTCATCCTCTCCCTCAGGATGAAGAATATTTCGCATTTGCTGTTCATCCTCTCCCTTAGGATAAAAAATATTTTGGGTCTTCAACCCCTCCTCTCCCGTCTTTACTTTTTTGCAGCTTTCACACTTACAAGGAAAGGTTAATCTTAGCTTCAAAAGTTCCAGAAAGCTTAAGGTAGCAGACCTTGAGAATGTTAACATTAATCGCTTGCCAAAAGAAATTGGTGAAGTCAGGCTTCTGATTCTGAGGTACCTTGGTTTAAGAGAGACATTGATTGAAAAGCTCCCTCATTCCTTATGTTGCCTGCAAAACTTGCATACTCTTGACATAGTCAACTTGGATTCGGAAGTGGAAGTTTCAGATTTCGTTTGGAAGCTTGAAAGTTTACGGCATCGATTTTCACTTTGATATAAGATGTAACATGTCACTTAAAGATAGAATGATTGAGTAATCTCCAAACCTAGTCACGCACACACTTTGATCACATTACGCACAATAAAATGGTAACTTTGACAAGTCTTCCGAAACTAGGGACTGTAGTAGATGTTAGCTCAGAGATAGACCAAGGCTTAGTTTGGGAGTTTACCAAGGAAGAGAAAAGAAAAGAAAAGATAACTTAGGAAAGAAAGGAAAAGAAGGGAAAAGATGCACATTTCGTTTGGGAGTTCAATGAAAGAAAAGAAAAGAAACATCTTTCTCTTATTTGAGAGTTGGAGAGATATGAAAAGCAAGGATTTTATGAGAATATAACTTTATGTATTTGCCCTTTCAATTTTTAAATCAAAGTCCAAAGATTAGCCTTTTTGTTCCAATAAATTGAATATTTGGGCAAGACAAATTTCTAAAACAATTGCATATGCATTCCCACAAGATGAATAATAATAAGTTGAGTTACCAAATGGTGTAAGACACATTTTTTATACGTTTCATGATTATTAGCCCTATCTACAAAAGGCTCGTTGTCTGTGATCAGGTGATCAGATTCAAGAGCTGATCCCATGGATGATAAAACTCCTAGAGGCATCAGTTTTTGTGAAGCTGTTTGGATTGTTGATCTACAACATGGAAATTGGAATCCATGAGAAATGGAAGTTCTTGCTGGATCATTTTACAATTTGAAGCTTACATAGGCAAAAAAAACAAAAAGATTGTATGCATTCAAATTTCATATTCATATATCACTACTGGAGCTTACGTGTACCATAACCATACAAAATATAATCACAAATCAATAATATAAAAATCAAGAGTTCATTGACAAGAATTTTATGATAGAAAATGAACAAAAAATTTAGAATATAAACAATAACAATCTACACAAAAAAAAGCTTTTTCCACAATTCTCTAGAGAAGATTGAGCAAAGAAAGAAAGAAGAGATTGAGTCAAAGAAATATCTTTTGTTATTGAATTGTGGGTGAAGAAAAGAAGAAAGCCAAATGAACTCAACTAGTTGAAAGTATAGAACTGAAAGAGCTTTGTGTCGGTGCTTTTACAAATCAACTTTAGGATAGATCGGGAATAATGAAGTTTTGTATCAGCTTTTAAAGGACAAAATATCAAATTAAAAATATCTTTTAACGCTCAACAAGTTTCCGTCCTTTTCTTCCCAATTTTAGGCGGAAAAATTTTCACCAATTAGAGGAAGTTGTTAGGAAATTGGCTTAATTTCTTTTGGGTAGAATTCTTATTTGGTGTGGAAAGTAACTAGTTTCCTACTTAGATTTTAGTTACTTGAAGTAGTAGTCAAGTAAAGTCCTATTTGGTTTAGAATTAGATGTTGTTTCCTACTCTATATGAGTTTAGAAATTAGTATTGGTTTCTAATTGTTATTTGGTTTTTTGGCCAAGTAAAGTTCTCTATAAATAGGTAGATTGGCATATTACAAAAATACAAGAAAGGAGTGAGAGAGTTCTTAGTGGGTGAGAGGGTTATACAAGAGTTGGGGCTTGGGAATCAAGTTGTAATCTTGTGGTGTTTTTCTCATAGTAAGAACAAGTTTTTCTCTTCGTGGATGTAGGCTTGGTGATTAAGCCGAACCACGTTAATTCTTGTGTGTTGTTCATCGTTCATGCTAGATATTGTTTTCTATTAAATTGTTGGTCTTTTCCTTTTCAAATAATTGGCCTGATACCCTAACAAGTGGTATCAGAGCTCCGTTGGGGTTTTGGTTAATTATTTGAAATTGAGTGGGTGGTAGTATACCATGGGATTTGGAACTATACAGTTTCCAATTCAACCGTTTAATGGAACTACAAGTTTCACTCTTTGGCAAAGAAGAGTGAAGGATATTCTAGTTCAACAAGGTTTGGCAAAAGCGTTGAATGGAAAGAACAAGAAACCAGAGAGCATGAATGATGATGAGTTTGAAGAGTTGGACGCAAGGTGTGCGAGCACGATTCGGCTTTATGTGGCGGACAACATCATAAATAATGTGATAGATGAGGAAGATTCTGCAGCAGACCTCTGGAAAAAATTGGAAAAGCTTTATCTGGCTAAAAGCTTATCCAATAAGTTGCATCTAAAGCGGCAACTTTATGCACTAAAGATGGAGGAGGGTGGCAGTCTCATGGATCACATGAATACGTTCAACGGAATTTTGGATCAACTCCAAAAGGTTGGCGTGGATATTGAGGAAGAAGATAAGGCCCTTTTACTTCTTATCTCAGTCTCTGATTCTTACGAAAGTGTCGTGACAACTCTGTTGTATGGAAATGACACTTTAGAGTTCGAGAATGTGCAGTCTTCTTTGTTGGATCATGAAAAACAAAGAAAGGCAAACCAAGATGTGACACTAGAAGCTGCTTTAATTGCTCGAGGTGAGAATAAAAGAGGAAAATAATTTGGCGGTGAATCTAAGGCAGGTGGTTCAAAGGCCAAGAGAAAGGGTGGAATCTAGTGTTTTGGTTGTCATGAGTTTGGCCATATCAAAAGATATTGCCCTCATCGAAAGAAAAATGATGAAAATGACTATGATAATGTTGCTGGATATGCATCAGGTGGAGATATTCTCACAATCTCCAAAGGTAATAATACTTCTTCTCGTGATGGTTGGATTTTAGATTCTGGATATGTTTCACATATTTGCTCCAGGTTAGATTATTTTGATACTCTCTAAAGAAAGAAGGCAGGTTTTATGTCCTTGGGTGATGGATCTACTTGTCAAGTCAAAGGTATTGGAGTGGTGAAAATCAAAATGTTGAATGGCGAGATTCGTTCTTTGGGTGGTGTGGCTTATATTCCAAAGCTACGAAGGAATCTAATTTCTTTGAGCCAGTTAGACTCCGAGGGTTACCATTTTTTCCGCGGCAGGTGGAGTCTTAAAAATCACACATGACGAGACGGTCTTGTTAATGGGGAAGAAGTATGGTAATTTGTACCATTTGAATACCTCAATGGATTGGGAGCGGAAGGGGATCCAAGAATGCTCTCAAATTACAAATGGTGGTGAGAGGAAAAAACCTGCTATAGGAGAGGGTGAATTGAGGCCCCTCTCGCGAGTCAACTAGATGTTGGACTCGGTTAGCTACACACGTTCATTTGCCGATTGAATCAATTGAAAACAAGACCGTATTGATTCAGGTGTGTAGCTAGGCACCAAGGGACTTGGTGGGAAAAAGCAAATGGAGTTTTTTTTGGATGGTTTGCTGTGTTTGCTAAAAGAAATTTTCGCCAAGGTGGAGATTTGTTAGGAAATTGGCTTAATTTCTTTTGGGTAGAATTCTTATTTGGTGTGGAAAGTAACTAGTTTCCTACTTAGATTTTAGTTACTTGAAGTAGTAGTCAAGTAAAGTCCTATTTGGTTTAGAATTAGATGTTGTTTCCTACTCTATATGAGTTTAAGAATTAGTATTGGTTTCTAATTGTTATTTGGTTTTTTGGTCAAGTAATGTTCTCTATAAATAGGTAGATTGGCATACTACAAAAATACAAGAAAGGAGTGAGAGAGTTCTTAGTGGGTGAGAGGGTTATACAAGAGTTGGGGCTTGGGAATCAAGTTGTAATCTTGTGGTGTTTTTCTCATAGTAAGAATAAGTTTTTCTCTCCGTGGATGTAGGCTTGGTGATTAAGCCGAACCACGTTAATTCTTGTGTGTTATTCATCGTTCATGGTAGATATTGTTTTCTATTAAATTGTTGGTCTTTTCCTTTTCAAATAATTGGCCTGATACTCTAACAGAAGTCCCATCCATTCATTTCATTTCTCTTCCTTCCTTATTAAAACTCCCAAAGGAATCAAATGGTAAGACTTTCTCTCGGGATACTTTCTTTCCTGTCCTTTTCTCTCAATCCAAATGAAGCCCAACTCTGCATGCGTTTATCTGAGGTTGGAGCCTAACGACGTTACATCTTCATTTTGATGGAGCCAGAGGAATACCAGGGCAGTTGCCATCTCTAGCTGGACTTTCTAAGCTCCATCATGTAACAGAGCTTAAGCCATCTAGGTTGTTGAGAATGCAGCCTCCTGATTTCCCTTCAAATATCTGTTGCTTGTCTTTGAAATGGACATTCCTCAGGGATGACCCAATGCCAATACTATAGAAGTTGGGACAGCTGTCGTACCTCAAAATGAAAGATGCCTACCGAGGACAATAACTAACCATTTCTAGGATATGGCTTTCACCACTTGAAATTCCTTGACCTCAGAGACCTAGATTATTTGGATAAAATAAATGTGGAAAAAGCTGCATTGCCACAACTCCAGTACCTGCGAATCAGGGAATGCAGCTCATTAAGCAAGTCGCCGGAGGAGCTGAAGCACATGTCCACTCTTGATAAGATTGAGCTTGTGAACATGCATGCCTGAAAGTTTTGTTAGTAGGCTTGATGCATGTGCGAGACCAGCACAAGGGCTCCGCTGCCCCTTACCTCAGAATATTTAGGGGTCGAAGAGCGTGGCATAGATCGAGCAGAAAAAATTTGCCGGAACGAATTGAAACTCACGCACGAGTCATAAGGGCAGCTGTTCTTTTCCAAGCGGCTGGTTAACCATCATGATGGTAACATTAGAAAGCAAGGTGAAGTTTGCCATCTTCATTGCTTGTACCGATTTCTCTCTATTTATTCCTTCTGGTTGCCATCTTGAGGTCGCCGGTCCCGTGGACTATAATAACTTCATTGTGTATTTCTGGTTTTATATTTCTTGCTTTTTCATCTTCATTGTGTATTTCTGGTTTTATATTTCTTGCTTTTTCATCTCCGGTGAGGAGGCTCCTTATGGTGTATGTGCTGCAGGCTGATTTTCAATGCAATAAATCAATGAAATCATTTCCCTCTTTTATCAAAATAAATATATAACTAAAATATTCTCCATTCAATGTACTTACTTTGCCACTATTTTACTCTTTATTTTGTCCATTTTATATAATTCGGACCCTACTTAAGTCCTCTTTTTGGGTGAAATGTCACAC